CGGGAGGCGCCGGAGGGCGGGTGGATCACTCGAGGTCCGGAGTTCGAAACCAGCCTGAGCAAGAGCAAGACCCTGTCTCTTACTAAAAGTAGAACAAATTAATTGGCCAACTAAAAATATATAGAAAAAATTAGCCGGGCATGGTGGTGCATGCCTGTAGTCCCAGCTACTTAGGAGGCTGAGACAGAAGGATTGCTTGAGCCCAGGAGTTTGAGGTTGCTGTGAGCTAGGCTGATGCCACGGCACTCAAGCCAGGGCAACAGATTGAGACTCTGTCTCAAAAAAAAAAAAAAAAAAAAAAAAATTTATCTCTACGAAGTTGTAAAATAGAATAGTAAAAGACAAAGGTACATACCCCTTACAATCAGATGACCCCAGAGATCTTTTTTTAAATGTCCAGAATTCCATGGAACATTCACCCAGTAAAGTCTTTTGACTATTTCAAAATATTTTACAATTTTCCTGACATATTATCATCATCTATACCCTGACTCTAAATTCTATATTTCTGGCTCAGACTTCTTTTTTTTTTTCTTTATTTTCTTTTCTATTTTTAGTTGACCAATTAATTTGTTTCTATTTTTTAGTAGAGACAGGGTCTGGCTCTTGCTCAAGCTGGTCTCGAACTCCTGACCTCGAGCAATCCGCCAGCCTCGGCCTCCCAGAGTGCTAGGATTACAGGTGTGAGCCACCGCACCCGGCCTCTGGCTCAGACTTCTCTACCTAACACTAGATTAATATATTCAGCAACCGGCTGGATGCTACAGAGTAGATTCACTATGCACTGGTTACCACTTCCATCCACTGAATCTTGGGCTGCACTTTTATAGAAAACACTCACATACACAAGTTAAATGAAGATGGCAGAAGCCTAGGATTCATGATGAGCTGGTCCCTCAAGGTTCAGGAAAGCTGCACAGTGCAGGTGGAGTCTCATCTCTGCATGCCTATTTGAACCATGCAGCTGAGGGACCTGGAAAGCAGCCTGCCCTGGGTTTTAGACCCTGGGGGGGAACATGATATGCTGAGCTAAAGCACGAAGGACATCCTGTTTTTAGGGGGGGGCTGGAACAGAGCCTAGGCTGGTCTGGCCAGTTCTTCCTTATGTATTCCCAGAATATTATACAGTTAGTCTTTAGAACAGGGGTCCTCAAACTTTTTAAACAGAGGGCCAGTTCACTGTCCCTAAGACCATTGGAGAGTATGCACTGTGGGCCCGGGACCAGTGGGCTGCTAAGCAGGAAAGGCAGCTACAGCAAAAACACCCAGGGGGGCAGATGAATGTCCTAGGCGGGCGGCATGTGGTCGGCAGGTGGTAGTTTGAGGATGCCTGCTTTAGAACTACAAGCAAGAAAGGGAGGAGAGCTGGATCAGTCTAAGGCCATCTGGAGAACTGTCCTGCAGATATCACTGGGTATTCTTGGGCATCTCAATCTCAGCATGTCCTAAATTGAATTCATCTTTCCTCCAGTTCCCAACTAACCTTCTGCCTCTTGTACTCTATTTCTCTTGGAGATACCATTCTCTTCTCAGTTCTGCAGTCCAGAAACTAGAGAGTTATCACTGGCCCTTCCTTGTACCTGACACCTCCCCCTTGAAGCTAACAATGAATTACTTGGTCCTGTCAATTTGTTATTCTAAATATTTCTCGTTTAGTCACTCTTAGAGATAAAAACTGCTTAGTGCACGCACTCTCCCTCTCTCATTGTATTATTGCAACAGTTTCTCAAATGATTTCTTTGCCTGAATTTTGCCAGAACCAAAAATCACATTACTGGATAGATTTTTATAAATCACAATCTGACTCTGACATTCTCTTATTTATATTTATTTAGAGACAGAGTCTCACTCTGTTGCCCAGGCTAGAGTGCCGTGGCATCAGCCTAGCTCACAGCAACCTCAAGCTCCTGAGTAGCTGAGACTACAGGCATGTGCCACCATGGCCATATTTTTAGTTCTTTGGCTACTTTCTTTCTTTCTTTCTTTTTTTCTTTCTTTCTTTCTTTCTTTCTTTCTTTCTTTCTTTCTTTCTTTCTTTCTTTCTTTCTTTTTTTTTTTTTTTTTTTTTTGGCAAGGTAGAATCATCTTGATCTTTCTTTTTTAGTAGAGATAGGGTCTCACTCTTGCTCAGGCTGGTTTTGAACTTCTGACCTTGAACAATCCTCCTGCCTCAGCCTCCCAGAGTGCTAGGATTACAGGCATGAGCCACCACACCCGGCTGACATTCTCTTACATAAAACTCTACATAGTTTTCCCAATCCTCACAGGATAAAGTACAGGCCCCTTGTGCTACACAAGGGCCCCCATGATCTACAGACCTCAATCCTATAGCATGAAACACCACCCTTCCCAGCCCACATATGCTGTTTATTATCTTTGTGCCTTTTTCATGTCCTCCTCTCTGCCAAGAAACCTCTTCACCTCCCTTCCTTTCCTAATGAACTCGCATGTGTCCATCATGAATTTGAAGCCACTTTCCTTTGACCTTCCTTCTCCCCAAGGTGGTAAAAACAAAAATCAAACAAACAATAAGCAAACAAAAACAGTGGAAGAAATGCAAAGTAACTACAGATGAGGGGAGACTAGGTTTGGACAGTGAGTTTAAAGTGTTACAAACAAACTTCCTATAGAAGAGCTACTGACCTGAAAAGAAAAATTCAAGCAGAGTAAGATTTTTGAGATGAAGGGCCTCAGTGGAGGGTGGTTGGACCCTTTAGAAAGACTGAAATTGCCTCAGCAAGTTCCTGAGAACAGCTCTTTCAATATTAGCAAATGATGAATCAGATATGAAGGTGCATTTTAAGATTTTAAAAAATTCATAATTAAGTTTTGAAACCAAAGCTATTTCTTTTGTGATAATGACAAGCTCAGCAAATGCTTATATGATAGATAAAAAGTAGAAAACAAGGTGGATTTATGTGTAGTTATAATCTCTGCAATCATTATTGGCACATACAGTGTGAGAAAGGTGAGAGTTAATGCCATTGCCTTTTTTTTCCTCCTCCTAGAAGGAAGATCTAACTGAATCTTAAGGAAAGAGATCCTTTTTCAGCCCACAGTTCCTGTTAAGGGAGTATCGTGTTTCTTGAACTAAAACTCACCAAGCAAACAACCCATTGGGTATAGGAATGCCTCTGTATGTTTTATTTTTAATTTTAAACACCTTTATTGGCCGGGTGTGGTGGCTTACACCTGTAATCCTAGCACTCTGGGAGGCTGAGGTGGGAGGATTGCTTGAGCTCAAGAGTTCAAGACCAGCCTGAGAAGAGCCAGAACCCACATCTATTAAAAATAGAAAAAATTAGGTGGGCATGGGGTGGTACTCACCAGTAGTCCCAGTTACTAGGGAGGCTGAGGCAGGAGGATCCCTTTTTTTTTTTTTTTTTTTTTGAGACAGAGTCTCACTCTGGTGCCCAGCCTAGAGTGCTGTGGCATCAGCCTAGCTCACAGCAACCTCAAACTTCTGGGCTCAAGCGATCCTTTTGCCTCAGCCTCCCAAGTAGCTGGGACTACAGGCATGCGCCACCATGCCTGGCTAATTTTTTCTATATATTTTTGGTTGGTGAATTAATTTGTTTCTATTTTTAGTAGAGACGGGGTCTCGCTCTTGCTCAGGCTGTTTTCGAACTCCTGACCTTGAGGGATCCGCTCGCCTTGTCTTGCTCTTGCTAAAGAACGTGGTGGACGGGCAAGTCTATCACTGCTGTACAGGTGCCTGTTCAAAAACTACACTGATCGGGAGTGTTTCACAACATCAGGTGCTACATCACGCCTGCCATAGGGAGTGAATAAGTCCACGGAGAAGCAAGGAAAAAGAGCCACTGTCTTGTTCGTTCCCATTTATAAGAGCACACGTACCCTTCCGCCCACCTCTATGAAGGTGTGGATACACCTCTAAGACTATCGTCCCCAACCCTTGGGCCGCAGCCTGGTACCGGAAAACAGGGCCTGGTCGCCACCTGAGCTCCGCCCCCCTCCAGGAGTCCGGAGCCGGTCTGGTGTGTCCCGGAACTACAGTTCCCAGAAGGCCGCGCGGCCCCCAGCCCCTGCAGGCGTGGCTCTGGGCGCCGCAGGACCTGCTGCCGCCGGGGTCTCCGCTCCGCACTCATGGCTTCTCCCAGCAAGGCAGTGATCGTCCCCGGGAACGGAGGCGGGGATGTGGCCACCCACGGCTGGTATGGCTGGGTGAAGAAGCAGCTGGAGCAGGTAAGAGCCCGGGCCCGGCTGCTCTGGCAAGTCAGCCTGGAGCACAGGGAGGGAGGACTGGAGTTTGAACGCGAGTCCGCCCCCCTCCCGCGAAGCCTTGTGTGTTTTCATTCTTCTCCCCTGCTGTCCTCTCTCAAACTCTAGAACTAAGGGGTCGTAATTTCAGTTGATAAAATTGCCTGGAAGACTTCTCTTGAGGGTTCAGTCGTTAGAGTAAAAGGAACCACTTTGTACGACTACAGAGACCGAGTCCCCCACCCTTCCCGGTATCTGAAGTCGGTTCGAATTTGGGACTTCCCAGATAATGTTATTAATACATCTATCTTCATTGCTTCTTGCTTCAGATTTTTTTAAAATTAAATATGTAATATTTAACATATGCAAAGGATGTAATATGTGTGTAAATTATGAAGCATAATGTAGTGAATCCCCAAACTAAAATCTAGAACATTACCAATGCATTGTCTTCCAAACAACCTGTATGTCTCCCCCCTCCCATCCCCCTGCCATCCTGAAATTTGTGTTTTTCATCTGCTTCTCTTTTTAAAATTAAAATACTCTTAAAACCTGTGAATGTATCCTTTAAACAATATACTGTTCAATTTGGCTTCTTTGTGAGCTTTATAAAAATGGCTACTGTAGGTTGTCTTGTGAGTCTTGATTTTGGTTTGTTTTTTTTTTTTTTAGCATCAGTTTGGTGAAAAACATTTATTTTTTTAACCCTCTTCTATAACCAGGTGACAAATTGGCTTCCTGGGTTGCTGTCCTCTAGAGTAGGTCTCTGGAATAGAATTTCAGAGTTGTGGCTGAAAACCATGGTTAGAGCTACAAACCAAAAAGGTCAGGGCTGGTGCTTCCAAGAGGATGGGGTCTCCAGATTTCTGTACCACATTTCCGTACCACGTTTTACCTTCTCCCTGGCACAGAATCTGCTTGGCTCTGGGCCACTCTGACTAGAACACATTTGTTCATGCTTCTCTGTAGATACAGGCTGTAGAGACAAATATAGATGTACAAATGCAGATATAGGTCTCTCTGTATAGAGATCAGCAGAGCTGGCCGGTTATAGAATACAGATGGAGTTTATGAGGAGGGATTGTACATCCATGTGTAATCCAGTAGCACTTAACCCACTTTGTTTCATAAGCAAATACTTATTGAATTGGTAAAGATCATATCAGGTTTCTCATTTCTTATTGGCAAAGTATTTAGTTGTAATGAAGCTCTTTATTATAGCTTTTTTTCCCCCCTCATATCATAGATACCTGGTTTCCAGTGTTTGGCTAAAAACATGCCTGACCCAAGTAAGTTTTAAACTTGTTTTTAAATAGCCTCATCTTGTTGGGTTTTGATATTACCATTTATGTGGTAGAGAACAGGAGAATATCATAGTGGAGAAGCCAAAGATGAATATAAAGAATGAATAAGGCGCGTAGCTTGGGGAGGAGGGTGTAAATAAAAAAACATGGAAAATTCTAGTGAGGATCAAGAAAAGCACATGGGTTTGGTAAAATGTAATTTTCAACTTTGCAGCAACTTGATTTTCCCTTCTATAAGTATATGAGTATTTTCAGGCAAAATTTGTGGATGTTAAATTTAAGGCAGAGATATGATCAAACTTTACAGCATCCCTTTGAGATCCTAGTATTTAGAAATATAATAGTGCCACTTTTGTTTTGGGTGTGCCCATGTCTTGCCTCAAGAATCTCTTTTTTAGAAAGAAAGAATATAATGTACATGAATTTTAGACAGAATGTTGTCAAGAGTTTTTTTTTTTTTGGAGACAGAGTCTCACTTTGTTGCCCAGGCTAGAGTGAGTGCCGTGGCGTCAGCCTAGCTCACAGCAACCTCAAACTCCTGGGCTCAAGTGATCCTCCTGCCTCAGCCTCCCGAGTAGCTGGGACTACAGCCATGCGCCACCCTGCCCGGCTAATTTTTTTCTATATATAATAGTTGGCCAATTAATTTCTTTTTTAATTTATAGTAGAGACGGGGTCTCACTCTTGCTCAGGCTGGTTTCGAACTCCTGACCTCGAGCAATCCGCCCGCCTCGGCCTCCCAGAGTGCTAGGATTACAGGCGTGAGCCACCGCGCCTGGCCAAGAGTTGTTTTTTGTTTAAAGTTTGAAAGTTTACATTAAAGCTTCAGAGGTTAGCAACACTTAGACTTATCAAAAAGAAAAAAAAAAATAAAGCTTCAGAGGTATATTTTATTATTTCCTCGGTATTGCCTACAAAAGCATGGTAGAACATAAAGGTAAAACTGTTTACTAAAACTACAGATTTGGGTCTTTCAAAGATCAACACATAAATCTTTGGCTCTGTTAAAACAGCCCTGTTTCCTATTGTGGTTGTGCAGTTTTAAAAGCTGTGAAGTATTGAATAGTCATCTGTTAACAAGGTAGGGCAGCGTTAGATTGAGACTGTCCCTATCCAATGACAGACTTTTTCATTACCCTGAACCTCAGTTACAGCTCGAGAGAGCATCTGGCTGCCGTTCATGGAGACAGAACTGCATTGTGATGAGAAGACCATCATCATCGGCCACAGCTCTGGGGCCATTGCGGCCATGAGGTGGGATCCTTGTTTAACTGCCACCCCCTTCATGGGCTCCAGCCATGCTTGCTTGGGAAATACCTTGTTTATATCTTAGGTTTCTATTGCCAAAAGAACAGTGCTGACCTCAAAAGTGGTAACATAATCTGTCCTAATAGCTTCCTAGTTTTGCAAGTGGATTGAAAAAAATTATTGCTCATACTGGGATGCAGTGATCCTTTTAAAGAAAAAGCAGCTCCAAACCCCAGCGGATTTCCATTACTCAGCTCTAATGCTGTCCCTACCATCTCCCCTTCTCTGCTCCCAGCCAGGTCTACTGACCTCATTGCAGTTCCTGGAACATGCCAAGTATACGTACCTACATTCTCTCACCTTTCTACCTGGGACACTGTATCCTGAGACACCCACATGGCCTCTTGAAGCCTCTGCTCAAATATCCACTTCTGGTGAGGCCTTCTCTAGTCACTCCGTATGAAACAGTAGCCTTGCCCTATTGGCTCCCATCTCCTGTATATCTTATTATCTATAGCACATTTCACCAGCTGACATCCTGTCTATTTTTTGTCTGTCTCCTGCCAATAGAATGCAAGCTCCCTGAGGGTGAGGCTTTGTTCACTGGGATGCTGATAGCCCAGTGTCTAGACAGCCTGGCATGTGGTAGATGCTCAATAAGTATTTGTTGGAGGATGAGGGCTGTTACCTGCAACCCCCAGTCCTTAGGATTCATGGACACAACCATGATGCTTCCTATTAGAACATCACATATCTCCTCCTTTATCCTTTTTTTCCCTTTTTTTTAATTTTCCTGGTAAGTGACCCTAGGACCTCCTTTATACTTATAAAGCTCAGGACTTAGCTGGTTGCATAAGCCTATAAGCGTTGGGTTTCTTCCATATTTGCTAGGCTGAATGACAAAGGATAATAATTTTTATTTGTCCCAAGCAGTCACTCAGGATGTCAAATGAATTGCATGTCAGGGAACCATGCCGAATTCCATAACCTTTCAGCCACACTGATCAAAGCTAAGAGAAGAATAATGCTTTTCAGCATGGAGCTACAATATTATGGTACAGTCATAGTGTAAGGGATATTTATAAGCTGCCAGGGGTTATCTGGAAAATGAAGAGATCCCTTTATTGCTGAAATCTGTCCCAACTCAAGGCCAGTTGAATTTTTCTCAAGCCACTGGCTAGTAAAGATGTACCTTCTTTTAAAGACCCTTGAACTTACTGCAGGATTGTTAGCAACCTTCTAAGAATTGACTTCTAAAGTTGAGGGAGACAAGGAGAAAAATGGATGCCAAAACCATCCGGTTAAGTCTGTAGGGGAACAGGAAACTGACACATCACAGAGGACCAACCACACTACAGATTACTTATCACAAAAGAGAAATTGTGCCTTTACAATGGAGAGATCTAGTCGATACCACCCTAAGGAAGTGATCAAACTTAATCTTACCAATAATGGGACAGACTGACCTCACATGTCCTGTGATGTAATGGAGTGGGAGTGACACAACATCACCTATGTAGTTAGTGTCCTTGCCAGAAATGTGTATCTTCAGTCTATTTGTGAGGCAACAAGTAATCCAGTGTAAGGGACAGTATGTAAGACAACTGGCCTAAACTCTTCATGTCAGTGTCATTGAAAAGAAAGATTTAAAAGTAACTAAAGAGTCATGGAAACCAAATGCAATGCATGATCTTTGACTGGGTCTAGGATTTTAAAAGTTTTAAAGGACATTTTTGGTATAATTGGAGAAAAATAAATACAGATGTATTACTGTATCAGTGTTAAATTTATTAGATGTGATAATGGTACTGTAGCTGTATAAGGGTACGGCCTTGTTCTTAGGCGATACATGCTAAAGTAAGGGAGAAATGTGGCAAACTTAATGAATCTAGATGCTTTTTGTTCTTTCAACTTTTGTGTAGGTTCGATATTTTTCAAAATAAATGGTTGGGGGGAAAGAGTGCAGACCCAAGAACAAAATACTAACCCAAATCTTTCCAGGCACAAAGGCCTCTTGAAACTATTATTGCGCCATGACTTTCCTTAGCCTAGTCTTTGCTGAGGGGAGTGTACTGTCTGTAAATAGTTAGCCGGGTGTCTACTTGTCGGGGACTGTACTAAGCACCAGGACAAAAAGATCAGTAAGACTGATGTCTGCCCTTATGGGACTGACGATTTACTGAGGGAGATGTAATGCAACACAAATAAATAATGCATTGTATTGTGGAAATAGAGGTACATTTCTGGTATGGTACAGTATTTCTTTCTTTCTTTCTTTTTTTTTTTTTTTGAGACAGAGTCTCACTCTGTTGCCTGGGCTAGAGTGCTGTGGCGTCAGCCTAGCTCATAGCAACCTCAAACTCCTGGGGGCTCAAGCGATCCTTCTGCCTCAGCCTCCCCAGTAGCTGGGACTACAGGCATGTGCCACCATGCTCGACTAATTTTTTTCTATATATTTTTAGTTAGCCAATTATTATTTTTTTTTTTTTTAGTAGAGATGGGGGGTCTCATTCTTGCTTAGGCTGGTTTCAAACTCCTGACCTCAAGTGATCCGCATACCTCAGCTTCCCAGAATGCTAGGAGGTGAACTACCACGCCCAGCCCAGTATTTCTTAAAATATGGTTCAAAGACCACCTGCATTGAAGTCACCTGGGTTAGAGGAGGTATCATGCCTTAAAATGCAGATCCCCAGGCCTCATTCACAACCCTCTGAATCAGGTAGGTGCTCTGGGGCTGAGCCTGGGAATCTACATGTTAACCAACCAAATAGCACTGATGCATACTAAAGGTGGATGAATGCACACATGAAAGAGAATAATTATACTTTTTTTTGTTTATTAAGAAAGGATTGCAGAAGAGGTTTGGACTACCTTGAAAAATGAGTAGGAGCTCATCAGGTAGCCAAGATTGGGCTTGTAGTTCTGCAGTTTCCTTGCTATTTTTCATATTAACCTCAACAGCATATATAGCACATGCTTTTTGCAGGCTACATCAAAATGAGTTTTTAAGTGGTTTATTGACTTTTTAGAGATAATATTTAATGTTACATATCAGCTGACATTATTTTTCTCTCTCTAGGTATGCAGAAACACATCGAGTATATGCTATTGTGTTAGTGTCTGCATACACATCAGACTTGGGGGATGAAAATGAGCGTGCAAGCGGTAAGTATGAAGACAGAAACCCTAGAGATGCCCTCCCCTAGATGTGGGGCTGTCTGCTCAGGTTATAAAACAGTATTGTCATTCAGATAGGCTGAAAAATCTAATAGCATATAAGAAAGATTTACCATCCATCCTTGGATATAAGTTAGGCCCTTTGAGAGGTGGTAGACCTCTTTCTGACTCATAATATAGAATTGAACCCTACAGGCCTGGTTTTATTTGAGTCATATGCTCCCTCTTCACAAGTAGCTATGGTATTGAGCCCTACAGATTTGAAAACAAAAGAAGTGCTTCTATCTCACACTTAGGCCCTGATCCTTTGTATCTCTGCAAGGGTCCCCACTAGATATTTTAAAATATCTAGCATGGAGAGTATCCTTCGACACTGATAGGTTATTTTTCCCCCCATAGGATACTTCAGCCGCCCCTGGCAGTGGGAGAAGATCAAGGCTAACTGCCATCACATTGTGCAGTTTGGCTCCACTGATGACCCTTTCCTTCCCTGGAAGGAACAGCAAGAAGTGGCTGATAGGTTGGAAGCCAAATTGTGCAAATTCACTGACCGTGGTCACTTTCAGAACACAGAGTTTCATGAACTAATTAATGTGGTAAAGTCTTTGCTCAAAGTACCAGCATAGACTGATTGCTATTTTGCATCCCAATATAGGGGTACAGTAATAGTATCTATGATCAGATGATTACTAGATACATAAAACATCTAGTTAAGTTCCAAAAGTGCCTGAAAAACAAATACAAGTTTTAACATTCAATCTAAATTACAAATAGCATTTCCATTTTCCATAGAGTCTAAATCTCCCCAAATTGCTATGAACTACAGCAATATTTTCCCCATTTGCTAAGGGACGTAAGCTTTACCACCCTTCTCTATCCAAAGTGAATTAAGTTGGAAACAGAACCCAGGTTTCCTGATCCTATTTCAGAATAAAACTAAATAGGCTTCATGTCATTGTAGATATTTCACTATTTTCCTCTTTGAAATAAAACTTTCTATTTTATTGGGGAAAGAAAACATGACTAAAGGTCCGGAATGTTGGCATAGAGCTCAAAACTGCTGCTGTTTCAAGTTGGCCTAGGATATTAAACCTAGACTAGGGCCTTTACCTTTGATACCTGCCCCTTTAGTTCTTCAAACATGCAGAGAAAGACTGATATGTAAGGATGCTGAGTCAATGGTCTGCTCAATCAGGTGGGAAGAAGCATAGCATACACACACACATATACACACATACACATATATACACACATATATATACAACACACACATATATATACATATACACATACTTTTTTCTTACTCTTTTTGTTGAGACAGAGTCTCACTCTGTTGCCCTTGGTAGAGTGCAGTGGCATCATTGTAGCTCACCGCAACCTCTAACTCCTGGGCTCAAGCAATCCTACTGCCTCAGCCTCCCGAGAAGCTGGGACTATAGTCACATGCCAACATGCCCGGCTGATTTTTTTCTATTTTGAGTAGAGACAGAGTCTCACTTTTGCTCAGAGCTGGTCTCAAACTCCTGACCTCAAGCAATCCTCCCACCTCAACCTCTAGAGTGTTAGGATTACAGGCATGAGCCACTGCACCTGCCCCTCTCCCCCACATATATATAAAAAAATATATTTGTATATATACACACACATATGAATACAACGTACACACATACACATAGTATGGGCACAACAGACTAGATTTGTATAACACAAGAGTGGTGGGATCAGGGCCATGTGGTAAGCTTGTACCCTAAATTGTTGCCATGTGGAAATGGGGCAAGGTGTTGCCAATTTTCTGATTTTTTATGGGAAGAAATCTTAATACAGTTTTTTTAAATTTTGGGAATATATACCATGTTTTCCCGAAATTAAGACAGGGTCTTATATTTATTTCTCCTCAAGAAGACACTGTAGGGCTTATTTTCAGGGAATGTGTTATTTTCCCCTCAAAGCCTCTACTTGCAGCTTTCACAGGATGGCTGCAACCTGAAGGGGGAGCCAACCTTGGTGGGGCTGCCCGCACCTTTCCTGTCACCTCTGTGACAGTAGCTGTCACGTTGGGCCAGATGAGAAGGGCTGCTAGTCTTCTTTACCGCTCTGCGACTAAATGCATGGGAAATGCATGGGTTGTGCAGATCCGCTGCGTAGCCACACCCATCACTAGGTCTTATTTTCAGGGTAGGGCTTATATTGTGCAAATGCTTAGAAATCCTGCTAGGGCAGGATTTTATGGGTAGGTCTTACTTTCAGGGAAACATGGTATGTATGTATATACAATCTATATGTATTATATGAATTATATCCAATCCATATACATATGGATATGTTAGTTGGCAACAACAATGTAAATTAAAAAAATTATAAAAACTATAAGACAAACAAAAATCTAGGCCCTCCATTTGTAACGTTGGCTATAAGCATTTACTTAGCCAGGGATTTTTAGAGGATTCTCTATAAAGTTTGTGAAAAGCCTAAGAAAATGAAAATGAATATAATGTCAAAGAATGAAATCATGGGAACAATTGAGATTTTGTTACAAAATCTTAAGTGTTTTTTAAAATAACCTTTCCATACTTCACATTTTGTTCTGTAGAGTTCAACCTTTTAATTTCTCCTTTAAAGAGGCTCTTTCAAGCAACATTCCATGACTCTTTCTCTGATGCTACTCCCTTGAAAAAAACTCTTTTTTTCTTTTTTTTAAGAGATAGGGTCTCACTCTGTTGCCCAGGCTAGAGTGCCGTGGTGTGATCCTAGCTCACTGTAGCCTCAAATTCCTAGGCTGGAGTAATCCTCCCACCACAGCCTCCTGAGTAGCTGGGACTACAGGCAGGCACCAACATGCCTGGCTAATTTTTTAAATTTTTTGTCAAAATCGAGTCTTGCTGTTGCCTAGGCTGATCTCAAACTCCTGGCCTCAAGCAATCCTCCTGCCCCAGCTTCCCAAAGTGTTAGGGATTATAGGCGTGAGCCACCTTGCCCAGCCAAAAAAAAAACAAAAAAAAAACCCTTTTCATTTTCCAACATTTTTTGACTATGATCCTTAAGTATTACTTCAAATAATTTCCAGTGATTCACACTTGGTTGCAAAACCTGCGTTTGCTGCAGAAATGTGATTTCCCACACTATTTATGCCTACAGGGGATTCAGAGCCATCATTTAAAACCCAAAGTCTTTTGATTTTTAAATGTCCTTAGACAAAGAAAAAAGTCAAGAAAGATACTCTAAATTTATAACAGCAATTTTCTTTGGGGAATGGGAATTTTGGTAGGTACAATGTGGTAGATGTCCCCATTGGATTTTTATCTACCTGGAGATTATTTGAATTTGTTACACTGAATATGTATTACTTTTATAATTAAAAATAATTAAGACTTAAAACAACTTATTTGGCTAGTGACAAGCAAATTAAATATATCAGTTGTATAATGATGTTCTTTAAAAGGCTGTTCTGCACTGATTTGGCCAAATTTATGATCAAAGTTTGATTCTATTTGAATTATTTGGAAATTAGTAATTGTGTTACCTTCTGCCTTGTTTTCTGAAATCCTTTCTTTAAAAAACTTACTTATACACATAATAACAGTTCATAAAACTTTGTTGTCTTTTCCCTCCATAGAAATAAAAAAAATATACAAATTGAGAAATAATTCTGATATTCTTCATTCCTATAAAAGTAATTAAGATAGGTCTATATGATTGTTGAGCTTTGCTGTCTAATGCGGTAATCAATAGCCACAGGTAGCAATAAAATTAAAAATTCAGTTCTCCAGTCAAACTTGTCGTATTGAAGTGTTCAGTAGCCACTAGTGGCTAGTGGTTACCTTATTGGACAGACAGTAGATATATTTCCATTATTATAGAAAGCTCTACTGGTCAGCACTGGTCTAGGCCATGTATTTTATATTCTTTCCTCACTCACCATCCAATAATGAACAACAGTTCACAGTAAAAGTGACTCAATTTGAAATTACTTTTTTCACTAGTTTGCTTAGTTGATCACTGTCAAAATCACGGGTCTGTAAAATTTACTCATCGCCAACTAAGATCAGGGGAGTTTCATGGGAAAATTCACATAAACTATTCATTAAAAACCTTATAATCATGGACTCTCGAGATTTCTATGTTCGATTCTCTGTGGATCATCAAACATAGAGAAACCTCAACAGATTCTGGGGAATATCCATTCTCGGGTAAGCAAAATACCTAATACTAGATGGAAACCAGCTTTAAGTACTAGGACTTCATTTGCAATTTGATTTTTTTGGTGTTGTCATGAGTCTCCAACCCCCCCAGTTTGTTTTGGTCACTTCATCCCTGTAGGATAAACAATCCAATTAACTATTCATCAGAGGTGCTGTATCTTTAAATTGTTGTGTCTTGTCTCCTTCAGTTAATATTCAGAATTAAAAATATGCTATGGGAAAAAAGTTGAAAGGATCTCTTTATTCCAGTGAAGCAACGAACACTTTTGTTTAGCCATTGATTCAGCTCTAAAAACATCTCGGCTATCAAAGACCATAATACAAGCGAACCTTAGATCTTGGGAGGGCCCAGGCGGGCGATTGTCCGAGGTCAGGAGTTCAAAACCAGCCTGAGCAAGAGCAAGACCCCATCTCTACTATAAATAGAAAGAAATGAATTGGCCAACTAATATATATTAGAAAAAATTAGCCGGGCATGGTGGTGCATGCCTGTAGTCCCAGCTACTCGGGAGGCTGAGGCAGGATTGCTCCAGCCCAGGAGTTTGAGGTTGCTGTGAGTTATGATGATGCCACTGCACTCTAGTCCAGGCAACAGAGCAAGACTGTCTCAAAAAAAAAAAAGTAGAAAGAAAAAATGCTGGTTCCATCTCCCCATTTTTAACTCTTCTCTAAGCTCAGTTTTCTTATTAAATAAAACTAATGCCTCTTTGATAGGCCAAGTCCCAGGAAGTACAGACATTGTTTTTATCATTCCAGCTGTCACTGGGGTAGAAGAGAAACCCTCTGTAGTTTCAGGCTCCTTTGGGAAGGATTTGTCCTTCTGTGTCTTATATATATTTATTACTTGAAATACTCTTTGTTACAAAGAGCTAGTATTATCAAATGCTAATTCTATACAGCTGGCCACAGAATTTGATAAAAATTGGTTACTGAGCTGAATTTTATTTTACTGATACCATTTATCTCAAAATAACTTTTCTGATGTGTCCACTTAAAAATCTCCAAACTGGTGTTAGAAGTCAGGCCTCAGTAGTAGCTGAGCTTGAATTCCTTTCTGTTGGTCCATGCTTTTGGCCTGGATACAGAAACTTTTAAGTGGAGCTACACTGTGAAAATACAACAGCTAAGATCCTAAAAACCTCTCCAGCTATCTTCTGTGCATCAATACATCAAATAACCTAGTGTTTTCTGTGGCTGATGATTAGAACTGAAAGTGCTCTTAGAACTGAGGACTATAATGGCTTTTTGGTTAGACATAACATACCATGATTTTTATAACAGAATAAGGAAACAAATCTAAAGCAGGGTAAGAATGATATCCACCTTCAACAATATAAAGTGTGAATGGAGGGCAATGGATTATTTTAAGTTTTAATTTTAGTTAAATGATTAGACATTGTCTTAGTTTTCTTTTTTTTTTTTTTGAGACAGAGTCTCACTCTGTTGCCTCGGCTAGAGTGCCATGGTGTCAGCCTAGCTCACAGCAACCTCAAACTCCTGGGCGCAAGCAATCCTTCTTGCCTCAGCCTCCCGAGTAGCTGGGACTACAGGCATGTGCCACCATGCCTGGCTAATTTTTTCTATAGATATTAGTTGGCCAATTCATTTCTTTCTACTTTTAGTAGAGACGGGGTCTCACTCTTGCTCAGGCTGGTTTTGAACTACTGACCTTGAGCAATCCGCCCACCTTGGCCTCCCAGAGTGCTAGGATTACAGGCGTGAACCACCATGCCCAGCCTGTCTTAGTGTTTTCTGGTGCTAACCACAGAAATTTATTTCTCACAATTCTGGAGTCTGGGAATTCCACAATCAAGGTACTTGTAGATTTGGTGTCTGGTGAGAGCCCACTCTGATTGACAGATAGATGGTTTTCCTGTGTCCTCACATGGCAGAAGGGGCAATGGAGCTGTCTGGGTTTCTTTTATAAGGGCACTAATCCTATTGTTAAGGGCTTCACCCTTCTGATCTATCACCTCTCAAAGACTGCCCCCCTCCAAATATCATCACATTGAGGATTAGATTTCAA